TTTTGCATAAATATTTACAAACTAATACTGATGGATAATTTACAAGTATTTTAAAAAACATTTATACATGTATACTAATAGTTGCATCATACATAGCTCCTTGGCAGGGGCTGAGAGTTTAAAAACATTAGCCTGTAATAGGAAAACATTTTTAAACGCGTTGTACAGACATGGAACTTTATTTTTTCATGATACAGGCCTAGAAACGGCTGTTAGTAGTATGAGCTAAATCTGACGTAGTTTGAATACCTGGTCTAAACTTATACTGTAAAATACTTTATTTTTGCTGGAATTACTATTCGCTGAAAATACTTTTTGGGTGTTTTGTATGGAATTTATTTTTACTGATTTGTGACGAGTTGAATGTAAAAATATAGAAAAAAAGGAATATTCATTGGATTTTATTCTCACTGAATCATTCCTTCAGCAAAAATAGCGAGAATTCATTCCAAGCGAGAATAAAGTATTTTACAGTAGTTTGGGGAAACTAAATGAATATTTAAGCTCTGACAAAGTGCCTTCTGGGATGACTGACCAAGGATGACCTGTGACAACAAAATACAATATTATATTTGTTTTCTATTTTGAAAGATTATATTTATGACTATTCATTGAAATATTTAATTACCAGCATGACAAACAATGAGAGCTCATCCAGAGAATTTGTTCTCAAGAAAGAAATATACCGACAATGAGACTTTGTAATATAGTACAGCCCAAGTGAACATTGTAACTTCACTTCTAATCTGACTATCTGTTGGCTTTGCTTTTTCCATAAGATTTTGTAAAACGAGTACCATTGCCATCAATAATTTCATCTTATTCTTTGTAGTATTTATATATGTTATTAACTTGAGACAGATTTAGACAGATTATTTGGATGTATGACATTTTTGAAAGCCAGCTAAGCTAGTTTTACGACAACTGAAAGCTAGCTAAATGTTAAAGTTAAAGCGGGGGAGTCGTAATCTGCACATGCGTCAGATGGTCATAGCGTGTCATTATTTACAAACAAGCGTCAACCTATGAGCCTTTGCGTTTTTAGCGTGTGTTGTTATCGTGGCTGGGGACTCAATTCCCGTGTGTGCAAGACTCCCCTGCTTTAACTTTCTAATACGAGTGGAACACCTCCCACTGATTATTGCGATTACCATGAAATAATGATAAAATCAGTTGCTATGACAACAAATCCAGCCTGCGCTGACCAAATCAAACTAATTTTCCATGTTGTATAATAATACTCAATTTTTATTTTTTTTGTCAATCTTCTAAATTGCATTTCAGGATTTGGTTGGATAGGATTTCTCATGAACCATACAATTCCAAATCCCCTGTGATGCTTACAGACAAAGTTTGCAACCAGCTTTATTATAATGACTTATGATGTT